TTGTTGAGGACCTGGGTCAGCATAGAGCATAGTTTGAAACTACCACAAGGTTAGGGGGCCAGTAGTGTAACTATAGCCATAGCAGCCCAGACCGCTGCTATAGGGCCTGGGGATAGAAGGGGGGGCCCCATTAGGTTGCAGGTGTGGTTGCAGTTGACGACAACTCTAATCCCCTGTAAAGTCTCCGTTGTAGAGATGACTTCAGATGCCCAAGAGGAGTCTTTGGGATCTTAGCATGCTTACCCCGATCACATTTTTGCTGTGGGGTCCCGTGGTCTGTAGTTATAGCTCTGGGGCTATGGCATGCAAGGAAAGAAGGGTCTGTGCTAGGGAACTGACTCTTTCTGGAGTAGTTACATTTTCTTTAAAAGGCACATTGCAAGTAAATTTAAAAAAAAAATGATTTATGGAAAGGAAAAAAAAAAAACCAAAAAAACATACAAGTAAGGATTTCCAGTACTTGATTCTTCTCTGCAACTGTGTAATCTGGTTATGGGGTCTCTTTAATGAAAACCAGAACTATATGCCCCTATATAGCTCAAAACGTATGAAAATCAACTGTGTGATCAATCATTACACATCGGCAGTAAAAATAGCATGCCGTGCAGTAAACGATCTCTCGTGCACCAATCACATAAATCTGCACCCTCATTACATGTGAATGTATTTACAGTGCTGGACATACACAATGACAACAACACAACCAGCGATCAGAGCTCGGCGGAGCCCCCAGTGGTCAGATGTGGAACTGCAGAGGATGAAATGGGAATTGGGAATGACTGAAGAAAGGCGGTTCGAAGGATAAAGTATGCTGCAAAGTGTGCGAAGGTAAAGCAGGCAATTCTTTTTAATCATTTCTACTTAAAAATGGGTCTGAAAAACTTTTTTGTTTTGTATAGGGCTTGGGAGGTGTAGGTCACAACACGCTTCTAGCCATCTGTGAGCTTCTATCCAGTGGCATTGCCTAGGTTGAGAATGGTGCTGCAGTCAAGAGGAAGAATTTCCTCCATCTCCTCCCCCCAGTGATCACTACGACTGTACATTGTAACTATAATGCAAGTCACTACCATGCATTGTGGTGAGCTGCATTGCCAAGCATGGCATTTTTTGGTGCCTGTCTGTGGTGTTGGGTTAGAAAGCCCATTCAATTGAACGGGAAACAGCACCATATAGAGGTAAATTGGCATTTACACATAGCAGGTATGTACAAAAGGGTATCTGATGCCAGGTTCATTGAAACATGCCATGGTTTATTACTATGGTCCAGGTTCTACCATGATCCAGTCAGCACAACCAAGGCTGCGATATGTCACAATAGGCTGTGTATGGTCATGTTTCATGGTTCAGCATGTAAGATAAACTTTCTCAAGTCTGTAGAAATGTCAGATCTTTGCTGCTGTTGTTTTACTGAGGGAGGGGGGGCTTTGTGGTTGCGAATGCAAAGCACTGATAAGAGCAGATCGAGCCGCCAATGCACCCCCCCCCCCCCCCCCCCCCTTTTTAACCTTCAGGAACCGAAGACGGGTCA